ACTACTGAAAAAATTTCACACTTTTGTGCCATAATTCCATCACATGAATTTTTTTGTAATATACATACAAATGACAACTTTAGGAAATGATTCTAGCTATAAACCGTTGTACATTACTGACGTCTCAAGAGAAACAAGTGAGGTATCGAGGTATGTGTGATTACACATGTATGTAATATTATTTAGCTTGAAGAGCTGTTCAAATTAATACAATGTACAACAGCTCAACTTCAAGAGACCATCAGGAAATTAATTTAGCATAAACTTGCATAGATCTTATGATGCTGGCGTAATAATGCGTAAATCTTACAGTGCCGATGTAAGTTTTACACTTTTTTGTTATTAAACTTACAATTGACACATCTTATTATTATTATCTTGTCTTTTTTTCTCAATATTCACATGACCATGATTTTCTTTTTTATCATTTTCATTCAAGTAAACATAACCAAAAGCATAATTTACTATCAAAAAGTAGAAATAGCATAAAATTTGTTTGTCTTTATTATATAATAATTATTCGTCATTAAATACTTCTAATACTTCAAGCAATGTTTCTCTTGTCTTTTCATCAACTTCTTTGTTGAAGACACGCCATTCTTTGTGAATTTCTTCAATGGTTTTCGTATCTTCCAAAGAAAGATTTACAAAATATTTTAATACGTTTGTTTCATTTTCATTATAATCCCATTTTTTAGAAATATCTCTAAAAAGGAAATCATCCTTAAGTCTTCGAGACTTTTCTTCTAAGATACTCTTAAATTTTTCTAGTTTATCATTTTTTAACTTATTATCAAAGCTCTTTTCCATTATGAAAAAGAAACTTGTTATTATTATAAAAAAAATGACTATTGTTATTTATGGATCAATTCGAAGGTTGTTAATATTGTCATTTATACATTTCGTTTTAATAGTATTATTAACGTCAAGGTGTATTGTTATTAATTAAATACAATACATACACGAATAATAATTTTATGTTAATGCGAACGATTTATAAGTTTAATGAAACTAGGCTTAATTTAAGTTGCGCAATTAGGAAAGTTACATTGCGCGATATTATTTATTATTATTAAATTTTATTAGTAATTGTTTTATTGTTATTCTAAAGGTATTTATGAAAGTTTTAAAATTTACAAATAAATGCAGTCTTTTTTAATGCTTAAACAATACAAAAGTTGAAAATGGGACTTGAGTTCAGTTCTATATATTGCAGTTGCGACATATAATACAGGATGTTGATAGAAATATATTAATATACTTTTAAAAAATGATTATATTCATGTATTGTTTAAAAATTTATATATAAATTATCCCAACTCTTCAGCATAGCAGAAATTTGAAATGTTACATTAATATTAATTTTTTATATTGTGCAATGTAACTTCTGGCAAGCGATAAACTGATTTGAATCGGAGATGGGTTCTCAATAACATTTCGTGTGATAACAAACTTCCACTATGCTCAACTCTTCTGGAATAAGCTTTATCTGACTGAACTCCAGGGGGCGGGAAGCAATGCCCTGGAGTTTACCGAAGCTTGCATCAATCGTCAATGACACTTTCACTAATCTTCCCAGACCAGAGATGGCTGCTGACATGCTAGCCGAAAAGTTACCTGCAATGATCCTACCTCCAGGGCAATGGTGGCTCTGTGACCAAGTTGCAACTCTGCTGATGAATATCAAGAGAATCTGCAGCTCATTCCAAGTGTAGGAGGTCACAATTCGGGGTGGGGCTGGTGGCCCTGAAATTGCATTTGGACTCTGATGTTAAGAGGAAAGTTGTAAATAGTGTTTGTTTTGTATAATCATTTTCATAAATGCTCTGTTTCTCTGATACTAACCAATTTATAATTTTGGGTCTGTCTTATAGATTAAAATTATCGCATGATTATATACATCTTTGTTAGCAATACAGCCAACAAGAAAAAGAAAAAAGTCATAAAAATGGTTCAGATTTTGTTTGGTATGTTACGTTATAAATTAATCATTTTCCCAAATTTTCTGCTTCTCTTTAATTTTTGTTTGACCAACTGAATTTGTTATTTAAATGCGAGCCAAAATTACTTGTGTGCCATCCACATTCTGTTGGAAATAGGCAAGCAAATTGTCAACACGAACTTTCACCTTCTTTTAGTAAGTGGCTTATTCATGGGGGCTTACTATAAAATTGTTCATGATAATTCCCGGGGGCAATAGCTACTTAGATGTTGATTAATGCATTCAGTAGCTGGTTTATTGTATGTATGCTAAATTTGAAATTAGTGTTACAATTTTCTAATATCTATTATCAAAGCCTTTATGAGAAAAGCATCAATCATGAAGCACTTTGTGGTTCATACCAAATGCAATGAATAAAATAATGAACTTATAATAAAACATTATTTATTTATAAATTTGTCAAAAATTATCTTTTGTATTTTTGAATTTTTTTTTTAAAATTCATATTATTTTGCTATATTTAAGAGTCTTCTTGATAGTGTAGTGTATGTGTTTTAGATTTAGCACATCAAAAAAAAGTTAATTCCGAAATTTTAATGGCAAGTGACAAATGATTTGATAGAGTGGGATGTATCTTTGGGGTGATCAAGAGGATGGCAAGGCATTTGTGAGATCGTGAAGAGTTTGTTAAGAGGAAAAATCTGCCACTAAAAGGGAAGCACTAACGAGTGATACATACAACACATGATTTTCAAATAAATTTTGATTCGTCAATGAAAAAATTAATTTTGCAAAAAAAAAAAAAATTTTTTTCAATTAAAAAATAATAATTAAAAAAATAAAATGACATTTGCTTGGAAAGCCGCTGGCATCAGGTTAATATTTAACTAATTGTCATGAACATTAATGTCTTTCTCTACAAGTTTAAAACAAGAAAGAATTAATGTGGAAATAAATTTTTTTTATAAAAACCAGTTATCTAAAGTATTCACAAGTATGTGCAAGAGCTGTACGTAATGCTTTAAAAGATGAACATAAAGTGCTTGCACAAAGAAGAGATGAACAAAATGTTAAATTTGCAAAATGGGACCAGGGTAAACAAGGAGATTTTGTATGTTTTGGTTTTTTTTTAAAAACAAATTTTGTTGTAATATTTATTAATGAATTAATTAGCATTATTAGCATTATTAATCAATCCTTCTGTTTTATTATTCTTTTCGAAACACACTCACATTTTCTTAAAATATGGAAAATAGAAATTAATCGATTCTCAATCACAACAAGTTGAAAATTAATCAATAAAAAATTATATTTCTTTAATAAATTAAATAACTAAAAGTTTTGAGATGATTACATATAAATAATATAGTCAGAACTTCTTTAATGACCCTATATCATATCCCAAGCTCAAGACCTAGAGACAAATACATCATGCTTCCATGTTCTACACTGCATGATTTTACAAGTCAAGTTTATATTAATATTAAAAAAACCACCATCTGACTGTGACTTCACATGACTATCATCCAATAGATAATCAAAAAATAAATAAATGAAAAATTAAATTTTTTTTTCAAATTTGAAAATAAAATTATATATCCTAATCAACCTAATCACACAATGAGTTCACAACATTTCATTCCTCCATTAGTATGTGATATAATCATAACACTTATTCGCAACGTCAATCGACTGTATTAATATTTTAATTAATTGTTATAAACATTTTTTTGAATTTAGAATTATGGTATGATTGAAGAAGATTTATATAGATCAGGACAGCCAAATGAATTGAATTTTCCATTTTTAGAGAAACTTGGTCTGAAAACTGTTGTTTGGTTAGCTCCTGAAGAACCAAATCAACGATTGTAAATATTTTTTCATTCGAAAAAAAAAATTGCAATAATCAAAAAAATAGTTCTTATTTCTAATAATAATTTTTTTTCCTTCGTTAATCTAGTATAAATTTTATTGATGACCAAGAAATTCACTTTTATCACTTGGGTGTAATTTCATCAACAACAAATGCATGGGATCCCATTACTGAAGAAGTGGTATTAGAAGCTTTGGAATTGATTCTTAATTCTCATAATTATCCAATGATTATTATGTGTAATTTAGGTAGACATAGAACTGGTACTATTGTAGGATGTTTACGTAAATTACAAAGATGGAATTTGACTTCAATTTTCGAAGAGTATCGTCGTTATGCTGGTCCTAAAGTTAGAGTTTTAAATGAACAATTTATTGAATTATTTGATACTGACTTGGTTAGATTGCCTCCACCTATTAATCATCCAAAATGGTTATAATAATGATAATAATAGTTAATAACAATAATATTTTTGGGAATACACAAGAACAAATCCAGAACAAAGCCTTACTACATTATTTTATTTTTTTATAAAAAAGATTTAATATTTATTAAAAAAAAAATTAATTATACATAATAAATTAAAAAAAAACTTAATTTACTTAATATTATATATTAATAATAATAATCTTAAAATATTAAAAAAAATTTTGCCATCTTGCCAATTAATTTGCCATTTTTTTTAAAAAACATAATCATATACAAAAATTTTTTGTTTCCTTATTCATATTTATAATAGAAATAAATATATAAATTCTTATTTACAAAATAAAAAATAAATAAATAAATAAAATAAACAAAAATTTAATTTATTTATTAGATTTAATTCCATGGCTAAATAACTGTTGAAATTCTTGTTTTTGATAAGGTATCATATCATGTAAAATATTCCTGAGTTCAGTTTCTTTCTCAGCTATCCAAGATGTTTTTAGATCTTCATCATCAAAACCATTTAAAATTTCTGTCATGTTTTCTATATCAGATTTCCAATAAAATCTTTGATAGAAAACTGATGGGTTAAAACATTTTGTTGAAGGAATAAGCGAAAATACTTCTTTTGGAATTGATGATGGCGGATTACGTATTCTTGATTTAATTAATTTAAAATTAGTTTAGTTTAATCACTCTTAATCTATATATATATATATATATATATATATGTACATATATTTATTTTATATATACTCACGATAATTGTATAGTTTTTTCGCCAAAACAGTTTCCACAACAAATAATCATCGAAGGCCAAATCTCGTAATAAAATTTTTCGTAAGATCCACCACAAAATTGACATTTATCTGCTAATAAAGTCAACCAAATGTATTTTTGCTCAGTTAAGCCGAATGGTGGATCCAACTCTGGATATTTCAAAAAACTAATTCTAGATTTTTTCCAAATTATTTGGGTTGCATCAGATTTTGACCACAATAAATTACGAAAATATTTACATGCGGTTGATAAATTGTATAAATCGTATGGTGAAACACCTTTACAAATTTCTATTATAATCTCAATTGGCAACTTGGTTATTATTTGATTCTGTAATTTTGAATGATTAATGGCAACATCAGTGAATGTTGTAGATATTGATGTCACTGATGTTGCAGAAGTTAATGTTGTTGTATTTGTAGTTACTGCTGATGATGATGATGATAAGTCTAATTTTTCTCTATAACATTTTTCTGGATGTATAGTGTTAGAATCGAATATTGTACAATCTGATTTACATGCAATAAACTCGCGTAAAACTGTAAATAATTCACATATTGTTACACAAGTCATTTTAATTTCTATAATGAAAAAAAAAACGATCAAAAAAAAAGATCCATTAAATGTGGAGATATTTTATATTTGTATATATATATAATTTTTACTTATTCGACTCCTATTTTTTCTTTAAAAAGGTTAATGAATGGAGCTGAGCTATCCAAGTGGCCATGAAATTAATTTGATTTTACAAGTAATTACAAGTAGAGATAATGGAGAGAAATCATCCTTTTATTTATTTATAAACAATGCGTACCAAATATTTATTATCCATGCCACTTTGATGTGGCTTCAATGAAAACATTTCGGCATTTACGGGCAAACATATTAACGCATTGTTAGTGACTTGGCATTTTTTTTTTTTTTTGAAATTTACATAGAATAGAATTTATATATTTTTTGTATATCTTACAAAAGTTTAAATTTAAAGTAAAAAGCGTGACCAATTTCTTTTACTACTAGTACTGGTTGGATTTCCTTAGAAAATAAAGGCACTGAAAAATTTAATATTTATATATTTCTCAATATTTAATGTGGCTTAGGAATGGTGTGGGAAATAATATAAATATTTATTTTCTAAGCCACATTAACTGTTCAAAAAAAAAAAATAAATTTGCCTTTAAAAAACCCCCATATTTACATTATCCTGTACCAATACCTTTCTTTTGTCTTTTCTCTTGACTAATTATAAATTTACAAATTTTTTAAAAAAAAATTAGTTGGTTTTTCAAATTTCATTGTGGCTAAAATTAAAAACTAATTGTGGCTAACTAAATAAATTTATTTGCCACAGATTAGGTATGTACATATGTTGAAGTCTGATCAATTTATTTTGGTTAGTCTTTTTTTGAAAATCTAATATTTATTGGTGTTAGTGCGGCTCGAGTCATCTAGTCCCGATCAGTGGCAAATTTTTTCCATAAACATTTTAGATAATTCACGTGACCAAGAAATTAACAAAAAAAAAATCATGCGACCGCCAATTGTCAGAAAATAATCATTAAAAATTTAGATATACATGTATAGTTAGTCAATTCAAAATATCATACATAATGTTAAACAAATCCGTGTAACTAATGTGCATATTTATCATTATTTTGTACATAATTTACATCAAATCATGAATTCAATCCTTGCTCCTTTAAATGATGATAAGTTAGAAGGTGATGAGTATTGCGAATGTTTTACTTGTGCAATTGGATCAAGATTTCATTTCTGCAACAATGTTTCTTGATTATTTAACAAATATTTTGAAAGATTAATAAAAACATTTCAATTAGATTATCTATCTTTATCACAATATAAACCAAACATCAATGCTGAAATTAAAGAGATAACAGAAGAATTTATAGGTGATGGAGAAGTTCTACCAAATCATGGCATGATATTCAAAAAATTATTTAGAAGAAAATTATCTTTCAGCACCTTCATTTGTTAAAGATTACTCATTAGCAATGATAAAAGCCATAAATTTCCTGACTCTGAACTATTTTATTTGTTTAGAATTTTTGATCCAAATGAACTTCCTGATATTGAAAATGTTTTAAATCTATATGGTCAGAGTGAGATAGAGTTTTTAGAAATTTTATGGAGATACTAAATTGGTGAATGATGAAGTTTTGCGAATTGTTGAAAAAGGAAAACTCATAGAAGAGTGGGAACTCCCTAAAATTCTATTTGTATCCCCATAAAAATACAGAAATGTATTTTATTCAATTGTAGAAACACAGATGAAAATTTTTATTTCAATTATCCAAATTTAACAATTATTGTTAAAGTAACACTACTCATACCTTTTTCCAATGCACATGTTGAAATACATTGAATAGCCATTTAGTGATTTTACTAAATGGTCTAGATATTCAAGATTTTAATTTTGAAAATGCATATGAACATTGTATAAATAAAAAAGAAAGGAATTTTTCACTAAAAAATTTTTTTGGTGATGATCAAACAAAATGTGCGCATTTTTTTATTGTCCCTGGTTTGATGTTACACACTTCAAAGACCTGCTTGAATTTTTAAATTTGGTTAGTTAACTGCTAAAAAATAAAAAAGAACGATGATAAAACAAACTCCATATAGAATTTTTTTGCGTAATGTTGACATCAAATTTGTATACAAAAAATATTCGTTGCATATATTTAAATGAAGAAAATTAACAAGAAATAAAAAAAAAAGGATTTCCGCTGGTCTTTTGGTCTTTGAAAAAAAATAACTTTATCATCACCAAAAAATACCTTAAACTCTTATTAAAACGCTATCCCTTATAAGTGATGAAAATGATTAGCGCTCGTGTTGCAAATACTGGTGCGGCTAGTTTCTCATTCCTGTGTCTTCTTTTAGTGAACTTGGGGACGCCAATTATCAAGTCAATTTTTATTGCGAGCGTTGAAATGAAAGGTCCTTCATTAGGTGGAAAAATTATATTTGGAATATATGGCGCTTGTGCGAAGTTTTCTGGTAGTATTGTTACATCTGGATGCGCTAATATTGGTCTTGTTAGTTCTAATGACAATAGAAATGTCGGTACAAAGTTTTTGTTATCTATGCATGCTGTTGGTAATGTGCTTACTTATTAATTAAAATGTGAAAAATATTGTATATAATAAATTAAATTATTGTCTATTGTTTGAATATATATTTTTAGGTGTAGTAACATCATTCATGCTGTTTTACATTGGAATGTATACCCGTAATTATGTTATACATAAAAAAATGTCATGGATCTTCGCATTATTCAATTCTTTTGTCATTTTGTTAGCAATGGGAGGACAAATTGACAATTATTTAAAAATTAAAAACGACGCCGACGTTTTTGGAACTACAACGATTGGGACTAGTGGATTTATCCTTGTAATTTTACCTCTCCTATTCTCATTCATTTCAATTTTTGCATTTTACATGGGAGATCAAGCTGCAGGTGAAGGAGGTAGCATCAATGGTCCCGGAAATATGGCAGCAATTAACAATCAGTCACCTGTTCATCCATATCAACAACCTTTCAATCAGCCACCTGTTCCTCATTATAATGATCAACAATCCTCACCTCCACCTTATACAAGTCCTCAATATGGTGATCAATATAATAATTATCAATTTCCACCTCCACAATCTTATCCAAATTCTCAATATGGTAATCAATATAATAATTATCAATCTCCACCTCCACAATCTTATCCAAATTCTCAGTATGATCAATATAATGCGAAACAAAATCCATATTCAAGACCACTACCTCCACTACCTCCACAATCTCCACAATCTTATACAGATAATCAACCTTATTCGAGCACCGACCATGAACCTGCTATGATGTAACTTTGATTTTTCCAACCCAATGTATCATTATCATGTGATTTTTCTATATAAGCATTATTATTAATATATTTCATAGAAATTATGGCTCCAGAAACATGGCCATTTTTGTAATACAAATTGATTTTTTTATGTATGAAGAAATAGCGCAGAAATTTTTCTTTCCATTTCCAAACCTTTGACAAAAAATTTCAGCAATCCATTCTAAAATCCGAGTTGGGATTAGTGATTGTATTCATTTAAAATTTTAATACTGACAAATTTGAATTTAGAAAAATATTCAAATTTTGTGATTAATATTCAAATTTGAAAAGGATTATTATTATTAATGCGGTTCTGCCGTCTTTACTGCATCCTTTGTCATTTTTTAATGCAACCATATATTTAAACCCAGTAGGGAATGAATGAAAATGAACAAGCTTTTATTTTTTCTATCATTTGAAGAGCTAGAGCTTGAACTGTTTGTTATCTGACACTTGATATCTAAAAATTTTATTGGCAAAATTTATTTCGAAATGAATTTCAAAGGAAAATATGATGATGAAAAAGAATTAATTATTGCTTTTATTTTTGTTTCAAAAAACTAAATATTAATATTAATATTGCGTAAATAATTTAATTCATTTCTTATTTTAAATAATTGTCACATTATTAAATTTGATCAAATCTTACTGAATTCTTGTCGATTTGGATTTCACAAATTCGAATATATTAATATGGGACATTCATATATCATTTGCGGGATCACATTATTTAAACATATAAAAAATAGATTCTTTGTCACCACTCTTAAATGTTTTCATCGATTATAAGCTATGTTATAGTTTTTATTATTGTACAGAAAACCCAATTTTGAATTCTACAGTTATAAAGATTATTTAAAACGGGATCATTATTTTATAATCTTATTCCTGATTGATTGTAATAAAAAAAAATCATCAGATAGATTATCAAAGATACGTTTATAATTTGAAGCTTGGATGACTTTGTTCAACAATAATTGATTAAATAAATAAACCATTACATAGTTAACCTGTTAAGCCAAAGGCATTTGTGGTGCCATTCTCTTCGGATTAACGGGATAAATTTAATGGATTTGGTGTTTAAAAGGATCAGATTCGAATCAGCATCTTGAAACCCAATATTTGATCGGATGATAATGTCACACGCGCAGATTCGTGTATTGAAATTTCAACACTGGGTGCGGATAATGCTCGAATTTTATAGTTAAAGTTGTTTCTTTTTTTTGCTCCAAAGAGTTTTGAATTTATTAAATGTGTATTGGATTTTTAAATAATTTATGATTTTGAGGTTAAAATAAAAATATTGTAAACATAAAATATTATATTATGTCTGTCATACTATTGTGATATTAGTTCCATCATTATCTTCTCCTGGTACTAAATATTACTATGAAAATAAAACATCGGTGGAGAGCATTATAAAATCGTTAACATCATAATTGTGGATTTAGCAATTGAAGATTATTAATTTCTTCGATATCAATATTATCTAAAGATGGGAACCACAATTCAATTTTCATATGCCGCAATTAGTTGCAACTGATTGTAATTAGCTGAGAAGTCATATTTAAACCTATGGTCAAATAAATTATAGTAAGATACAGGAAGAATACCTAGATTTTGACAAGAAGATTACCTTCAATATATTAATGACTTTTACTAACCAGCATTATCAGAATTTAATATATATATATCTAGGCACTCATAGCTCTTATTTTCAAGAAAATGATGAAAATGAATTCATAATTGACATAATTAATTTCGCATCATCAATGATAGAAGAAATCAACAAGCTCTCCTTTACTCAATTCCATGAATAATTTTAATCCAATATAATGGCCAAAAACTAGAGAGCTTTTAAATAACTTGGTGATAGAGAGTTAGAAATTTTGATGATGAACCTAATTATCCAAACTTTTCTCTTATGCAATTATAAATGATGATGAATTTAAGAGATAATTTTATAATTATTAGCATATCATTACAAACAACATCAATAAATATTTCATTAAAATACCTTCGTGAAATTACACAAATATATTTCCAAATATTCTTAAATCAAGTGTTAAGTGTGAGTGTGATTTTTTTGACAATACAGATTACAAATGTTGATATTGCCAGGATTGGAAGGATCTGACCATGATGAATATTATGATTATACAAACGTATGATTTCGATCAAAAGACAGAAGAATTAAAGATTAGTTCCAAAATTTTATAAAAATTTCGAACAAAAATACTTGTAAGTCAGAGTTTTTGGACAGTCCCTTTAATTTCTCCAAAAAACAATCATTTTGAGAAACTAGTGATGATATGCACCCTGGTATAAAATAATTATGGGTAATATACCCTGGATTATTTTGCATAGATTAATTGATATATATATATATAGTATAATAAATAAATCCTGTGATCACCGATTACAAAGTTAATCCTGCAAGAGGATCAACTATATGATAGTGTTAACGACTTTAAGTTTTATCTTCTCATGATCTTTCTTCTTGTTGCAATTATTACTAATCATATTCCACAAACTTGTGCATTCCACGAGCCTAATTAATTAAATCTTGTACAATAATAGCAACGCGTATAAAAAGGACCCTAGAAAACTATATAGGTTATTACCGCGGCTGACCTGCAAATTACGAAATTTGGAAAGATTCTCTCCAATCAGCCAATCACACAGAGAGTCAAAATTTATATCATGTATAAAAAATGAAAAATCTCTTGTTTTTTATTTTTTGAGACACGAGAGACACGAGAAAGATGTACGTACGCGTGACAGATCATAACAATAACAATTGAAAATAAAATATATAAATAACACTTGGGTTTTCTCTCTCTCAAAAAGTAAACAGCAAGAATTTCCCTCTCCAGCGACATTATCCATTTTATCAACATCCATTTTATCTTTCGACGACGGCAAAGACCTTCCTTCCATTATATTATTGTTATTATTATTATATTATATTTATGGTTATATTATTTATTGTAACTGCAGTATTTTATTTTAATAATAATAATATAAGATTACCTACCCATTCTGGGAATATGTAATAAAATCATCAAAATAAGTTTTTATTCTTCTCACTTTAATTTATTTAAACATTATTATTTTTTTTTCTTTTAATATTTATTCGTAAAAGGACAAGTGAAAGTAAAAGAGCTTTACTGCCAACGAGGTTGTTCGTGCGTTCATTTCCGGCTCAACTCTTCCTTCGATTAGTTCTTTTTTTTCATCCCTCCGTCCTGATGCGCTTTTGTCTCGAACAGTACTGCAAACAGCCGCTTCTCCCTGAGGTATTGTTGCGAGACGTTGCTCAACTTTTGACCAAAATAGGTCAGACACTTAATACATTGATTGGCTTGTTTTTATTCCACATGGCAGTAAGTCTTATTACAATAATAAATCAATTATATGGACGGGCGGGTTTATAATTTTTATAATTTATTGAATATTTATGAAGTTAAAAATTTACTAACATATTTCAATATTTTATTACAATAGGTCGAGTTATACTATCTGGGAATAGTGGATTTGGTTTGTGCAAGTTTTCCGAAAGTAAAAGTACGTGCAACTCTAAATATTTAATTCTTAAAAATAATAATTTGTTTGCGCAGTATTGATATTATTATTATTTATTTTACATATTATACTAGGCGAGTCCTTTTTATATACTCTTTTATATACTCCTTTATATGCTCCTTTATATAGTCATTTATGTATTACTTCGTATTCTCTTTCACACCTTTATTTACACATTCATTCACACCAATTCTTTCTGCATACATTAGACCTCATTCGACCTTTATTTATGCCTCCATTTTTATTCGCGCTTCCATTCACTCCTTCCTTCTTTTCGTTCATTTATCCACTTTAGCTTCTTTAGTTTAGTTTTAATTTGGTTTGATTTTAGCTTCTTTAGTATAGTTTTAGTATAGTTAAGTTTTAGCTTCTTTGGTTTAGTTTTAGTTTAGTTTTATTTTGACTTTAGTTTAGCTTTATCACTATCCCTATACTCATCTTCATATATACCACCCATTTCTTGAGCGTTTTACTTTCATTTATTCAAGTTTATGCCGGTTTCTAATAAGTGTCAGGTAAATAATCAATTATATTTTATTAAATAATAATGATAATTAATTAGTTAAAACATTATACTAATATTCATGATAAATAATAATTTTAAAGTTAGGGCAACATTTTATTACGAACGCACGTTATTTGGCCATCAAAGGGGGATAATATTTGGTTAGAAACAAAAGGCTGATTATGAAGGAAAGAAAAAGTTGAGCCGATGAGGAGAAGCATCATTGGATTTTTAGGTTTTGGTGTTTGTTAATTTATCCAGATAGTTGGTAACAAATTGATTCAATATTTGTTCGAATTGAATTGATTATAATTATTTTGAAATATTTGTTTGTTAGCGCTTTAATTATCTATCAACTTATCTATTTATTGACATCATCCTTAATTATTGCATCCTTCGTTATCATTATCATTATCATTATTTTTATTTATTTAATTTTCACCAGTACTTTTACTCATTTGTCATGGAAGGCAGAAGATCTAAGGTACGGTACGGACTCGACGGAGGTTGGTAGTGAAGCGGACTAAATCAGGTCTATATTAGTAGTAGTAGTAGAATTATTAGCTTCTTAGTAATATAATTATTATTAGTAGCAGTAGCTTTAGTATTGGTTATTCTTTTTTTTTTTTTGATGTCTGATTTAGTCCGCTTCTCAAGAAACTACCTACAGAAACTTCTTTAGACGTGATGTTATTTTTTTATTTTTTTATTAGTATTATGAAAAAACAATTTTTAATTCATGTATGTTAGTAGTAGCAATAGCTTTAGCATTTATTAGTTGTATTCACTTTGGACGTGGCATTAGATTGGTTGGCTACGACATTATCATTGCGATGGATGGGCGTGGTATTTTATTTAATGTATTATTAATAAGTTTTATTATTAAAAAAATTGTTAAGGGAAAATACTTATTAAAGTTGATATAATAACATATAGAAATGCGTCTGGAATAATTTTATTGTCTGAAAATTTATATTTTTAATATGTAAACTCGATAAGTCGGTCATGTGGGGTAACGACTTATCAAACCGTATTAAATTTATCTATAATTCCATAGTTATAAAGCGGTAGGGTGTCCATGATTATGCTTTTTTTTTGCAAATTATATATACTTTTTTTTTTCTATATAGAATCATGCTTTTATGCTTTTTTTTCCAAAATTGATTTTCAGAAAAATTAAAATACATGAAATTTAATTTTTCTTTTAAATCAGTTCAGTTAATATACTTTTATAAATCGAAAAATATCTTTAAACATCAACACTGGACACAGGAAGTTTCACCAACAGTTATACTAATCATATTATTTTTTATTAAATTTTTTAATTTCTATACTTCAAATTCATAACTCATTGGCAAATATTTTTTGAGAAGTTGATTTGAACCTAAAATATAACCTCCTAGGAAATAATAAAAATAAAAATAAATGATAATTTACATTAAAATATTCAAATTAATTTATTTTAAGGTCATTTTGATTATATCGAGAGATATGGTCAAGAGAAGAGTTAGAAAGAGAGTTATTCTTCAACCAAGTCGAAAACCAACCCTTTAAATACATTTTCGAGTAGTACGTTTTAATTTATTAGACTATTTCAAATGGTTGCTTCCAACTTCTTAAATTCGAACCATTTGTTAACGAAACAACTGTTTGATTTTTTCATACATCGTTCATGTTTCTCTTGATCGTATATCTTAAGTTGGTCGCGTTACAATCATTTTGACGTTCTTTATATTAAGGTTATTTTGATTATATCGAGAGATATGGTCAAGAGAAGAGTTAGGAAAGAGTTATTCTTCAACCAAGTCGAAACCAACCCTTTAAATACATTTTCGAGTAGTGCGATTTAATTTATTAGACTATTTCAAATGGTTGCTTCCAACTTCTTAAATTCGAACCATTTGTTAATGAAACAATTGTTCGTGAAGTGATTGTTGACAAAATGAATCAAACCACATTAAATGTTTTATTTTTAAATTCACGATTTTAATTAGTCAATCAATCAACAATTGCGTGGGTTAAATTTTGTGTTACCAGAATGGTCTCTCCTGTAATAGTAATAACGTTGTATAATAAAATAAAAATAATAACAAACAATTATTTCATGTGGCTGTTGTATGTGAAATTGAAATTATGTGAAATTGAAATATTATGGAGTGGGGTGAAATTCTGGTTGGCTAATTTGAATTTCACATATGTGAGCTGCGAATTCACATAATTTCATTTTCATGTACAACATGGCTAAATGTAGAATATTGAGTTCCGTACGCTGAAATGGCCCGAGAGGAATTTCTCTACAAAAAAAATAACAAAAAAAAAAAGTTTGGACGGCTGTCCTATTTATATGTTTCGAATTTAATAAAATAGACTATTGTCTTGGCCCGAGTGATGTCATTTTTTTGTTCTTTGCGACGAAGAAGACGCAAAACCCAATTTAATTGTGTGATTTGTCAGTTATAAGCTTGTTTATTTTAAATGGTAATGGTGATCATCACAGAAATTTTCCAAAAATCGTTATGGAGTTATTAAAAAGTCAAGATATTCGTTACACAATTCAATGTCAGTTTTTTTATAGTTCTAAATGATATTATTTTGAATAAATTCTTTAAAAACTATGTTGTTTAAATTGACTATATACTACTTGTGTGATTGATTCAATCATTAACACAAAGGAGCAAAATTAATTGTTTCGCAATAAAAACTATTTGTTTGTTTATTTATTGTTGTTTTTTGATTTTAATATCAATGCATGGTTTCTATTCGTAATACAAATTTTGTTTTATTCGAATTATTTTTTACTTGAATTATTTGTTTTGTTCATTTTGTTCGAATTATTCGAATAGAAGCCCAAAAGAGCTTTAGAAATATTTAACCAATAACTTAATTACAATATAAAAAAGCGCTGTTGGTTTATTAAATTAAGCCAATAATTAACTAAAAACAGGATTAATTTTAGAAGAATGAATATCTGGTAAATATTGGTGCTTTCAATATTTACTAATAGGCTTTTAGACTATATGATAAAAATACTAGAACATTATTAATTTATCAGTATGCCAATACCTTGATTATCTTTTTAAAGAATATTGGTCAGATATCTGATTGATACCTTATTACCCAATTTGTCATCATTCGACCAGTAAAAAGAGAACCAATGGATTATATATAAGCAAAGAAAGATTGGACCCTAAACTAGCACAAAAGAATTTTAAACCATAACAGCTTGATAGCTTGATTGACATAGTGGTGCAGTCTTGCTATTTTTTTTTATAATTAATTATATATCTTTAATAAAACAAACAAAACAAACATGACTTAGCTATTTAATCATTTCCTTGTATGTGAATTCCTCCATCCAAGAAATATTCACAATGGTCATGATTATTATTCAATACATTTGATATCATCATTGACATAACAAACAATTGCATCACCCAAGTGGTAATAACACCAAGGCCGTGGATAAATGAAACTTTTAATAATGCGTCTACCCAGATCTCTGGGGCTCAGAATAATAAACCTGATGCTGAATCACAGGTGTCAGATTTAATTAAAATTTTCCTGTCACAAACATGCAAGACGGTGCAACTAAGCACCATGGATTTTCTTCTCCACAGGTGGAACGGACTTAAACATATTGGAAGGCTTTGGACAAGACATTCCCTTATCTTTCCCTCATACTAGGCTTGGTTGTTACCATATGAGCATTGATCATTGATAACTGGTGCTTGTGTGATGCTTGCTTGTGTTATACCACTCTCACTAAAATAAAGTCAGTGTCTGTAACTGATTCAAAATTCTCCAACTCGGGAGATTGCAATCTGGGTTGCTGTTTTGGATTTTCCCTGGATTCAGAGTTTTGAGTCCTGGGTTGCTGTCCTGTTTGTGGCATGTCTGCTCACCAACAACCCTACCTCATTTTAAATAACAAGTTCAGTTGGTCAAATAAAGATTAAAGAGAACAGAAATATGGAAATGATCAATTTATACATAACATACCAAACAAAATCTGAACCATTTTATTTTACAGCTTTCTCTTTGATGCCAGCGATCATGATGACTCTCACAATAGGAGTGGGCAGAATCGAACTGCCATCTTTATACTTGAATACACACTCTCATTGAGTTACACTCCTTTAACCTAGAGTAGGAGGTTATATGGGCAAAAGCCTCATTTAAAAAACAACAAATTCAGTTGGTCAATTAAAAGTTAAACAGAAAATTTGGAATGATTAATTTATAACATATCATCTAAACCATTTTATTTTACAACCTTCTTCCTAACATTAGAGCCAAATGCAATTTCAGAGTCACCAACTCTGCTCTGGATTGTGACTCTTGTGCTTGAAACGAGTCGCAGATTCTCATAATATTCCTCCAGAGTTGCAGCATCTTGGTCACGAGCCATCCTTACCCTAGAGATATGATTGTTGCAGGCGACTTTTCAGCTAGCATGCCAGCGGCCTTCTCTGGTCTGGGTGCTGTGAGGGAAGATCAGTGAAAAACATCCTTGACGATTGATGCAGTCACGGTAAATTCTAGAGCTTTGCGTCCCCCCCCCAGATTTCAACATTATCATATCATCGGGAGAAAACGTGGTCAGATTAGCTTTTTGTACATGAGGAATACGTGAGAATAATTGTAAAGTGTTCAAGGTAGCATGAATGCTTCAATGTCTCAAAAATTTCCGATAATCAAACATCTCATATCGAAATGTCTCTTTTTCAACGGTGTGCTGACTTGATATCTTGTAATTATAATATTATAATTATATATTAATAATGATTACGAAAAGAAGAATATCAATCGTTTGTTGTCATGGTTTTCCAAGTATTACCAGAACTTCACTTATTAAATACTTTTTGAGGTTTGATTTTCCTAAAGAGTAACTCAATGTATTTACCTGGCTTAGTTGTCATTACTGTAAAGTCTGGTTTAGATCCTAGCAAACATGGTTCAAATTTTCTATTGGTAGTAGCTGAAGATTTTGACATAAGGTTGGCCCTGCAATAAATAACCCAAAATCAAAAAAGACAAAATATTTATAAATATTATAATTATACAAATCATAGAATATATACCACTCTATTTTAATTTTTCCATTTTCATGAAAAAATAAATCAATCGCTGGAGAAATACGCTTGTGAACATGTGTATCCTCTATTTTATTATTTCTTGTAAAGGTTGACTGTTGATTGTTAATTCTATACAATGAGTGCTAACAACGACTAGTAAACATTATTGCTTTAGTGAAGTATTGTCCAAAGGTTAATCGGAAATACTGGTAGTGTTATCCTAACCAAAACGTAAAGCTGTTTAAACAAGCTGCTTAAGTTGTCTTATAAATAAACCAATGCGAGATGGCAATTAGTACAATAAAAATAACCAAGTCTAAACAACTGAGATAATCAGTCATAAGGGAACTTTATAGAGGCCTTGAGCTTTGTAAAAAGCCTTATTTATTTATTTATTTATTTATTTACAATACCCTGTATCATTGAATGTAGCGTGCTTACAGATTCGTCGAAGCTTTCTAGGTACAAGAAAGAGACAATAAACGAGAACCAAAGTAAATTGGTATACTAGTTAACGACAAACACCAAAATTGCTTGCAATTGGTCAACAAGAATAACCCAAAAGTTAAGCCATAGTTGTCAAATACTTGTTAAATAATCGGCATTAACAGAAAAAGGCAAAGTAAAGATCCACACTCATATTCTCACTAGAATTTTATCAAGTAGAAATATTAATTAATTATTAAATTATTATCATTATTATTAAATACGAATTTGCCTAAAAGAAACAACATTTTACAGAATTTCTGAAGATATTGATATTTATTTGGTCTAAAAGTGTTTAACATTGCCCTTTGCTAGTTTAATATTATAATGTCATCAATAATTTTTTCCTGAAAACTTCTTGAACTTTTATATTATCAGATTTTTCATTTTATTACTATTTTTTAGAGAAATCATCACTGAATTTGTTAGATAGTGATAGTCAATCCGAACGCCATTAACCCTTTTTTAAAACACAAAGCAAAATGATATTCGGCTTTGAAGTAAGTATAACCGTAGACTCCATTAAATCGAAGAAAAGCGACTGCACAAACGCCTTCGGTTTAACGGGGGTTGACCATATATACCTATAATAAGGTACAGGTTGGGTCACGTGTTCTACCAATAAATGTAAAGGTCTTTACTCCCATCAGGGCCTTTTACCAAAAAGTCAAAAGTTTTGTGATACATCATTAGTTTCATAGAATACAAAGCATGGGTTTAATGAAAAAATTGAAACTGGCTTCATTATTAACCATACACTTGATATAAATCCCCTTATACTTGGTTATTATAATCAAAATAATAAGTCCAAATCCACAATTATGGCACGAGTATGTTCATATGGGAGTGGTTAATCACATATTGTTTGAGTTAAAAAGATAAATTTATTTGCAAATAATCATAATGAGTAATAAAATATAAAATTTTTTTTTTAATCAAAATTAATTACTGAATGAACACTATTGGAAAAAAAAATAAATTAGTGTATCGTTTTACCAAAAGAATCATAATATAATATTTTGTATTATTTACCTATCACCCTTGTGCATAGCTTCAAATGATTCATTAATTTCTTCAAGTTTGAATTTATGAGTTATAAAAAGATCGACTTCCAATTTCTTATCAAGGTAATCTTCAACTAAACCTGGCAATTCACTACGTCCTTTAACACCTCCAAAAGCAGTACCTTTCCAAACACGTCCCGTAATAAGGTGAAATGGTCGTGTAGATATTTCTTCTCCTGCTCCTGCCACACCTATAATTATAGACTGTCCCCATCCTTTATTACATGACTTTATGAAGGAAAGTAAATTAATCAATCAATAAAGCACGTGTACACGTATCCACGTGTCCATATATTATTTAATATTAATTATTCTTACTTCGAAAGCTGCACGCATAACCTTTGTGTTACCTGTACACTCAAACGTATAATCTAAACCTCCATCAGTAATTTCAGCCAACACCTTTTTATTTTATTCATATAAATTTTATTATAAGAAATAGTGATTTGTTTATAGAATCATAGAATCAGATCAAGAATAAAATAAAATAAAATACTTGTTGAATTGGTTTATCATAATCGTTGGGGTTAATAAAATCGGTCGCGCCCAATTTTTTGGCTACAGGTATATAAATATACATGTAAACGGATTGTTAATTACTTTTTAAAAAAAAAAAAATGAAAAATTTTTTGTTATATTTACCAAATTCAAATTTCTTTGGGTTAATGTCAATTGCAATAATTTGACTATTTACTCAAAAAAAAAAAAAAAACTTTTTTTTAATAAACAATATATATATATATATATAAGTAAATTAACAAATGTATGAATGAATACCTTGCATTACGCGATTTTGCACCTTGAATAACACTTAATCCTACGCCACCACAACCAAACACTGCAACTGTTGATCCAGGTTGAACATCGGCTGTTTTAATTGCTGCTCCGTAACCTATGCATATATGTTCGCATATAAATATATAATAATTTAAATTGCTACTATGACTGATAAAAATTTGGTTTTTTTGATCGACTGATTAATATGATTGATTGACTGGTCACCTGTTGTGATTCCACAACCAAGCAAACATACTTTATCCAATGGTGCTTTAGGATTGATTTTGGCAACTGACATTTCTACAATGACTATATAAAACAATTTTTAAAAAATATTTTGAGATTTTTTTTAATTAAATGTGTGCAAACCAAACAAACATTCAACCAACCAGTATATTGACTAAATGTTGAACATCCCATATAATGAAAAACCTTTTGGCCTTTACAAGTGAATCTTGTTGTTTCATCTGGCATCAAACCACGTCCCTTAGTCATAAAAAAAATGATACATTTATAAATTTACATAGCAATAACACGATGTTATTAATATTATCGGTTTAAAATAGTACCTGAGTACTCCTAACCAATGAACACAAGTTAGTTTTGCCACTTTTACAAGATTTACATTCACGACATTCGGGAATGTATAATGGTATTACATGATCACCCGGCTGGACGGAAGTGACTCCTTCGCCTACCGATTCCACAACGCCACCACCTTCATGACCAAAAATTACAGGCCAATTTTTGCCTTCAGGATCTAAAACAAAATTATATACATAAAATCAATCAATCAATTTATTTGACCATTTAAAAGGTAAACCAGTAAGTAACACAAACAAATACCACTATAATATATACACACCTTTTCCCGACAGTGAATAAGCATCAGTATGACAACTTTTTGCATAATTTAATCAGGATCATTATTATCATTACTTTAGATAAAAAAAAAATATTAATGATCACATTTTGTAATTTATATTTCAACTTACACTCCACTTGCAAGTATTTTTACTCGAACCTCTCCTCTCTATAAATAATAATCATTAATTTTGAAAAGAATGAAAGAATGATTAATTGGTTGGATTAATTAATTAAATATTTGCTTGATTAGTTATTAAACATCATCTTTATCACCTTTGGAGGTGCAACTTCGACTTCTTCAATAGCTAATTAATAATATTTTTAATAATACAATTATTAAAATCAAACATACAACTAATAATAAATCAGTCACTATTTGACTTACTTAAAAGTTGTCCAGGCCCCCATGCAACTGCTGCTTTACATTTAATAACCTATACAATTGTATGCATATATACATATATATAAATACATTATATACATTAATTGTAGGAATAGTTCAACTAATTATTAAATAAAATTACTTTTCCACTTGTTGACATTTTTTTTTTTTTTTTTTTTTTTTTTTATTTTATTTTATTTTATACCAAAGAAAAGTAGTCTAATTTTGATTGATGCGTGAGAAATTTTTCTATATGGGATGTGCAACAAAGCGACCATAAAAATTATTTTATCAAATCCATCTTTATAAAAACAATACCAAACAACTCCAAACCTCACGTTCGTTCTTCCGTTACTATTAAGCTGTTATTATTTTTGTTTTTTCTTTTTTTTTTTTTTTAGTAGCTTTATTTCGCGTCAATTCTAAATTAGGATTTGGGAAAATCAAACCTAAATTTGGGACGTTGTTGATGCATTAACGCGTGTTTTGCTAGTACCAGTATCAGTTTACCTAAATAATATTAATATCGTCTGAGAAAATATCGGATTCAATACAATTTTATTGTTTTTAAAAATATTAAAGTAATATTTATGATTTCTAAATTGATATTTATAAAAAAAAATATATATAAGATAAAATTTTTCCTCATTAATATTAATTAGAAAAAGAAAAAAAATAACAATTATAATAAAAAATAAAATGAATTGGCATTCTTTTTTATACAATGTTAACACCACCGTTAGTACTACCATTAATACCGTTACTATGATTATTGCTATTATTATTAATACTATTGATATTATTATTGCTATTATTACGTGATTTCATGACTTCAAAACGCTGTATCACATAATTTTTACATTTATTTGAATTGGGAAGATCTTGTATCATCTTTCTAATGGTAGCTTGTGAAAAACCAAAATAATCAGGACCTGATGCGGAATTTGAATGATCACGATTTCTAATGGCATTTGCTTCACGAACAACTGAAGTCCATGCACCCGTTGCTGTGTTAGCAGGAATTGGTTTATTTGGTTGATCTTCGGCTTCAATGACAAACTAATATCGTCATCGTATGTAAGAATAAGAATAAAGTTAATTATTATTATAAAGTAAATATTGCATAAATATAATTTACATACTCTAGGTCCATCAATACCATCTTCAATCCTACAAGTATACATAGTTTGACTATCTGGATTAATCATACTATTGTAAGCTCTGTAAATCACATAATTATATAATTAGCAAATTGGTAATAAGTCTATATGCGCATAAATGTAAAAATGTGTATATTCTTACCTTCTGACGGCATAACCAACAGGCCAAATATATCTTTCATTATGAAATGTATCACGGTCATAAACGACATGTCCAAGACTTAGGACAGTTAAAATCCCAATTTGAACAGGTAATATGTAATTTCCCTTTTCATCTTTCTCAACATATTGAACTTTCATAGTCTTGATATTCAATGGTTTCTTGCTTGCGCGCTTCTTGGCAACTTTACCCGACGTGTGAGTGGTGATAGGTTCCGAATTAACAATATTATTTGCAGGTGCAGGCAATGACGCTGATTTTTTATTAGTGAGACGTCCGCGAGCTTTTTTAATTGGACGTGTTACTATTGATGATGCACGAGATTGTTGTCCTGATGATACTACATTAATTAAATAATAAAGTTTTATTGTTATACATGTAAATAGATATTTAATAATAAACATTTAGTGAAAGTCAATCAATATGTTTACCATCAGAATCGGATGAGATATCAGAAGAAATATTAACAGATTGTTCAGAATCTGATGAGTCAGTATCTTCATATTGACTAATGCGATCCAGAAGTAATCTAATAAATGATAACAATAATAATGATTATTATATTTATTATTATAAATGTTTCATTTAAATAGATGAAATCATTATCATCATCATCATCATCGTCATTATCACACGTACTCTTTTTCCCTTTTAAGCGATTTAATTCTTTTCCTGGATCTGTCCAACTCCTTTGCAATTTTATCATATTCCTATATGAAATTATATAAATGATGATGATGATGATGTTATTGTTGTAATAAAATAATAGTAAATCAATATAAAGAAACAAATTGAACTATATAAAAAAATTTATTTACGTCCATCACATTTGTTATATAATTATTACTGCTATTAAATATTTTAAAAATGATAACAAGGTTCATAAAATAAACATCTATTTTATTTATTTTCTTTCTTTCTTTGTATTGTCCAAGGTTGTTACCGTATTGTAAATATTATAAAAAGTAAAAAATGAAAGTTGATTGAACTTACAGTTTGAATTTCTCGCACTCTTCTTTTTAACTTTTGATATCTCTCTTGAGTTACAGCACTGTTTTCCTGAGAAGAAGTATGTTTACCTTTACTTGAATGATTCTGTGCCATTATATTTTGTATAATAAACAAGTAGATTTTCTAAAAAACTTTTTTTCGTGTATATAATTTATTTGACAATGATTTGGTGTGTGAGAGAGAATAACTTTGTGAAGAAAAAAAGATGTATTTATTTTTATTTTTAGTTTATAAATTTATTTTTGTTTGGATATCAATTTATTTTATTTAAATAAGTTTATGTGCACCCAACAATCTTCGGGTGTGTAAGGAAATATAATAATAAATAGACGAGAGTTAATAATCTGTGGGAAGAAAAAAAAATTTTTTTTAGGGTATAGTCTGAAATATAATAAAAAATAATTAAAAAAAAACAAAAATATTTCTTTTAAATTTTTTTAAAAAATTTTAAAAATTTTTTTTTAATTTGCTAAACATATATAATAAATTCATTTTGAATGTTATTGGGGGTTTAGTTTGGAACATTATTTTTTTTTAGAAGGAAGTTTCGGAAGGCTTGTGTGTGTTTGTTGTTTGTGTGTGCGCTCTTTTTTTTTTATTTCCAAGGACAAAAGCCTACTACTATAAATTTCTTTCAAAAGAGAAAAAATGATTTCATGTCTTTTACAATTAGGGGTGATGATTGGTTAATAATCAATGGCAAGTATCACAACATGTAACCACCTTCCATAATTGTAATAAATCAACAGGGTTTTTATTTATTGTGCAACATTATTATTTATTTATTATTTACAATTTTGATTGTTTTATTAAGGCTCTCTTTTTCTAGTTAAAAATAAAAATGTTCCTTCTCTGACCGGAAAAATAACAAATGTAGGTAAATGATTGTTATCAGATAAGGACAAAAAATAAATTTTTTTAAAAAAGTGTAATAAATTATTTATTGTATCGAGCAAAGAAGAAATGAAATTCTTACTTTTGAGGAATTTATGAAAAACAAAGTTTACTGAAATTGGATAATTTGCAGTATTCGGAAGGTCACGTATCTAATAGAAATATTACTGTAATAATAAATAATAGACATCGAATTAACTTCTTGAAAATGTTACCAAAACAATTTCTAATTTTGTTAATTTTATCACACACGAACTTTTTAATTTCTAAAAGGTTTTTAATTAACCCAGGTTCAAATAAGCTGATTGTGTAAGTGAAATAACTATTCTTTATCTCTCCTTTTTTAGAAGTTTTTCCTTCACATGGCTTCTTCCAAGAGAAACCTTATCCTTCTGTTGAAAGTAGAGTTGTCGACTTTTAATAAGCAAAAAGATAATTTATTCCCTGACTAAAAATGCAAGGAGATTTCCTATTGTTGAAATTGAACCAGTATCGAGAATTTCCAAATTTGTCAAGAGATTAGTAACGAAGTGGAGAAAGAAGCAACGTTTTTATCATCCCCCGGGATTTTATTTGTTTATTGTTCATATCAGATCGAAAGTGGTTCTAGACCCAAAACAGCATGAATTTACGCGAGTACTACATTTTTATTTATTCAAAGAAAATTATAAAACGGGTATTAATTAACTGATAATTATTTCACAGAACATGTGCATCCTTTGAAAGTGATCTATTTAGAGGATTTGTCTTTAGCATATACACAGTTTTATTATTAATTATTATAATTTTTAATTTTTATTATTATCAATATTAAAAATTTAGAGAAACACTATATTCGTCTACTATTCCGCCAATCCCAGTTGGGGCCGACTGCTTTGTTGAATATCTTTTCACTCACTTACACTAATTTTATATTCTTGAAACGTCGCCAGAATCAACAACCTTGATAGCATTACGATTATCATTCTCCGATAACTTGTCGTCAAAAATATCACTTTATTTTCTTATTTCATTTCACCGAACTACTTTTTTATTTGTATCTTTAGTGTCTCTTCCCAGTCTCACTTCTACTTTTTGGGATGTCTATACTTTAGAAGCGTATTTTCTGTATTGAAAAAGAAAAGTCATCAATATTGGCCAATCCAGAACCTTCTGAAGTTAAGGATGTCTAATTTATTCATTATTATTGTTCAATTCATCTAAAACGCATCATCCAAAATTTCAGCGGCCAAATTATCTTATTCTTCTTGTTCCCCACTATTATCAGATTGTGTCCTTGCAACGGTCGATTCCGGTGGAATAATTATAACGTAGTCCTGAAATCAAAGCTCAACTCAACAATAATAAGGACACCCTTGCCAATTAACAATGGTTTTATCGTAACGATCAAGGGAAGTTATTGTTCAGAAGAAAGTTTATAAAGGTTGTATTGCGAACTTTAGGGCAACCAATGTGTTTAATAATTCTTAATGTTTCACTAAAATTGTAAAGATGAAGTATTTTGATGACTAATATTTATAGATCTATGACTTTTCATAAAGCTTCAGCCAGACATTTCTGGCTCTTATAGCAAAATTTCCCTCAACTGGTCAAAAGGTTTGATTTTGACAAAAGATAATGCTTATTCCAATATTTGGAAAACATTGGTTAAAAGGGCCAATTTTACCAACTAGATCACTGGCAAATATTATCAAAACCACCAGTGCTCATAACTTGCACTAATTAATAATCAAACCACCAATTATAAAGATGAATAAATAAAAAAAAGAATTTTTGAATTGCATAATATTAATAAATAATAAACGAATAATTCCGACAATTCTTGTGTAAATCTTTTTAGAGACAAGATTTAATTAGGAAAATTCAAAAGATGTTCCTATCATTATAAATAAAAATGGCAAACAAAAGATGAATTAGACGTCCAAATAATTAATTGTATAAATATTTACAGACTCCTGCTTGCTTAACTTGCAACAGATATGTGAATTATCCCAATCCCATTATGAATTAACCAATATCGAATAATTTCTTTCTCACGCTAATAATTAATTACACATTTTTGGTATTTTAGCAAACGAATATAAAAAATTGATTGTTGCTACCAAAAAATTATAATAACGATATTTTTGCTCAAGTAAAAAAAGAATGTATTGTCACCAATTGAATGGATAATCACATTGTTCCAATTCGAAACTTCCTGAGTCTAAAGGTTCGTTTATTCTGATTACAGCGTGAGCAATATCCAATTTGCCGCCGTGTCCTTCAGCAAAAAGAAATAAAAGAAATCCGATATTAAATGACATTAAATGATTCAAAACACATGAGATTAAATTTAAAATTTTCTTACTAGACAGGAAGTCTGTGTATTAGTGTGTAATTCTCAGCCTTTTCGAGTATGAATATCTCTTCCACCATTGCCAGTGATGTGTGGTTTATGACGCTGCTTTTGGTCTGCTCTGCAATATTATTTTGTCTTCCATTTGCAGTGTTAAAACCCAATCGCTTAATTGTATGATTAGGGCACGATCATCAGTTTCATCATTTTAAGAGCCTCGAGAACCAGATTAGCAATGTCTTCATTTTGTAAAATTGGTGGTGATTAACCTTCGAACGTTATATGAAAATATCAGTCATGATAAAATGATTGATTCACTCGGCTCATTATTGAGTGCCAGAATATCAAAATAAATTTATAATTACATTTTGCCAAAAACAATCTTTTTAAACAAAAAAAGAAAAAAAATAGGCTATATATATATATACACTAATTTTATTTACTTTCTTCTTATGCTAATATACTCTTACCCTGAATTCCACAAAATCGTTATTCACTTATCTTCGCTCAAAATATAATATTCTAACAAGGATTTAATCCGATATTCTCGATCTATAAAATTGATAATCGCACAATCACTAAATTACATATATAATTATCTAAAATATTCTTATTAAGAATGGTTGGAGAAATACTTTGCAGGACGGGGAATTATTAGTCAAACCGTTGTTAATTTCGTCGCATTTGACGAAATTGACGAAATTGAAGTTGACCCATCAAACCGACCAAATTTTCGTAACCAATGATCAAAGGTATGGCCAAATGTTGATTTTATATACATCAGTATAGTGATGTCATCAAACAATGATTTAGATCCGGGACCCTTTGTCTTCTCATCATGATAAAAAAGAATTGAGAATAATCACCATGGTAAACACCCAACGTTACTCTACATGTTGAATTGAAGACCGAAAAAAGAAAGATTCAGTGATTTGGAGAAGAAACTAACTCTCTGCCTTATTTATTTTTCTGCATAACATATTTTTAATTAGAACATTTAGTTCCAAGTAAAATCAAATAAACAACTTTCTGTTTAATTAAAAATTAAATCCTCTATTTATAAATGGTTTGGATCCTTGATAAAATTCAAAAAATAAACCAACTTTTTGAAATGATTCAGATAGTACTCGAAGTCAAAGTTTTCAACTTTCAACATTTCAGTTTTCAAGCTAACACTTTTGTAAGAAAATAATAAAAAAGGAATAGTAGAGGGTTTGTTGGGCGTCAAATTTAAGTTAAATAAATTTATTTAAGTAACAATCATACCTGGAACTTAATCATAAAATTAACAGATGTGAAGGTAAAAGAGAATAATAATAAAGATAAAAAATAGACAAAATTGTAACATTCTTAAAATTAAACAAATATGTAAGGACACTTGCAGATCATCGGAAATAATTGAACAAAGAAACATGAAAAAAAAGAAAAATTTTATTAACCTAACCACATTTGCTTATTAAGTAAAATTCATCTTCATATCAAATAGTATAACATACTGAAGTTTCGTCATATATAAACAACAAATTGTTGTTTTACGAACCTTAAAAAATAAAAATGAATTTTTCGGAATTTTCAAAAAAGTCTAACTCGAAAATTGACCACAATGTCAAGTTCTAATGACCTTTGCGGTATAAGTAAAAAATGCGTCTTATGTTTGAATCTAGCTATATGCAAAATTCTAGATTATTTGGTAAATTAATTAACGAGAAAAAAAATAAAACGTAGAAAATTTTACGAAACAATTCAATCCCAAACTGCTCACCAATTTGAAACATAAAAGACATCAAAAAATATATGAAACTGTTCCAAATTAATTGTATTTTATTAAAAAAAAATCAATATCTTGTCGGGTTTCCTTTACTTT